ATTTACTGTTAATATTTCTTAATTATATAAATAGCCTCGTCTTTAATAAAAATATTATTATAAATAAGTATATTAATATTATTTTACTATATATTTTAAAATTTACTGTTAATATTTTTAATTATATAAATAACCATCTGATGAACTCTTTTATACAACATAATATATATAATATAAAACATAAAAGATCATACATATAGAAAATGAAAGATAAGCACCATACAAAAGAAATAACATAAAATAAAACTTACAACAAATATAATTATTTAATAATCCGATAAATCATTTTCGGATCCATTAAAATTATTAAAATAATCCGATAAAATATTATTAAATTCTTACATAACATGATAATAGAAGATGATTGTGATCTCGAGGTGTCAATTGAAGTTGAAAGAGAAGTCATGTCAAGGAAAATTGAAATTGAAGAAAATAATAATGTGAGGTTCCAAAAGTTTCTTTCTCATTTCAGAGAAATCAAAGAAAAAGAAGCTCATTTTTTACTTCGAAATGCATTAGTTGATCATTTGTGAGAAAATTATTATAATTCTAATGAATAATTTAGAATTGATGTATTATTGTGTTTAAGCTATATAATGTAATTTTTAATGTATTAAATGTATTCTTTTAAAACCTTGTTGAGTAGTTTTATTTATATAATAAAAATTTAATTGTGATTAATATTGTATTTAATAGAAATGCTATAAATTTAAAATGGACTGTTTTGCAAATAGTATAAATGAAAGGTTCTATTCCTAATTTTGAAATAAATATAATATTAAAAATATTCTTTTGGAGTAGAAAATAAAGTAATACATTGGAGTAAAACTCAACTGCATTTTGGAGTTACTCCATTTTAGAGTAGAAAATGGAGTAATACATTGGAGATGCTCTAAGGCATTGTCATAATGCACATGTTCTTTGAATAGATATAAAAATAATAATAAAAATGATAGAACATACTATGATTTATAAAACAGCTGACTATGATTAAATCATTCGAAAATTTACGCGTAGTCAAAAAGTGTATCTAAATTTGAATTTCGCAAGAATGTACTTATAAACTATCACAATGTAAAAATTTATCACCAAAACTCTAAATAGTCTATAATAACATGCTTATGAAAAGCTACAGAGTAACAAGACTTAAATTATTTAGTAATCTTGTACTAAATTTAAATATAGGAATCATTCTTAAACGTAAATTTCTTTTTGTGAACTGTATGTAACCTACTTTTTTTCTTTGAACTCTAGATTATTTTTTGTCAAAAAACTTTTATAACGTATGAGTCAGCATTCTAAAACACGACAAGAACGTTATACGATAGTTAAATTATATGATATATTGTGGGATGGTTTGGGCGGTATAAAATAATTTAAATATCTTGAAAACGCTGGGGAATTACTAACGTCCAAGGATATTACGTGTGCTAGACGGCCATAAAATACAAATTAATGTAACTTTTTTAAAACAACACAAAATTAATGAAACTAAATAATGTATATGTATTAAAAGTTTAATTAGATAGTGTTTCTCTGTTTCCAAACCTTTTATGAATGTTTTCAGTTGTAAAATAATTCCATATATATATATATATATGTATATGTATATATATATATATGTATACGCTTTGTAAGTTAATATGTTATCTTTATTTTCTTATTATATTTTATAACATTATTATATATAAATATATTCAATTTTATACGTCTAAAAGCTTTTCTATTAGATTCCATGCAGGTGTCCGCATAATAAAACAATTGACCTGGTATTTATAGAATTAATTAATTAACTTTTTGTCAAAAATTAATTAACTATTAAGACTCACTTGGTGGTGTTTTTAGGTTTTGCCAAGAATAATACGAGAAACACATCTTATCATGTGTATGTAGAGAAAAACGATTGGATTTAAAGAAAGTAATTAACAACTACGTAAAAGCCTAGGTTTAGAGCTGTGGAAAACTTTTTTTTACGAATGAATTATAAACCCAAAACGGGCGTAAGCCGTAAGGATTGAGTACAGACTAACTTAAACACAAAAAAATCACATAATCATATAATTCAACTATTTTTTATCTAATTTCGTTCGATCCATTTTTTCAGCGCGTTCTGCAAGACCGAATTTAATATTTCCATAGTTGTGTTAATATTCTTAATTAGTTGAATAAGAGAAAATGCTAACTATAATCTCTTGTCATTATAAAACTAAGTAATCAAGATAAAATGTTTTTATACGGAAATAAATAATATATAAATATGTGATTCGAGAGTCTTTCTCAAATATACTAGGTAAGATTTTTTTTTTTTGTAAAGTAGCTTTTACTAAGTAAGATTTATCCATGCATTCCAGCGGTTGATGATTTAGTACGTAGTTAAGATCAGGACTGGTTAAGATTAATACAGAAGTCAGCATGCAAGCCCTGATATCGATTTAAAATGAAAAGAAAAGTTCATACTTTATTTTTGGCAGATTGTTCGAAGATTAAAGTTTCCCTCAGTAATGACAACGATATACTATATATTTCTTATTAACTGTCAACATAATATGTGCGACTACAATGGATATTCTATCAAAGTCAAGCGACGACATTTTGTACAAATTGGTTGGTTTTACGAAATCCATGTCACGCCTATGTATGAGCGCATAGCTAACTAGACTATTGGACTGCTATTGGACGTAAGATAAAGCCGTAGAGTGCCCCCTTGATTTTTTATTTACTTTCTGTCATATAATTTGATTAACATATAAAACCAAAGTTCCGCAATATCTAGTATGAGATTCACATAACTCTTTTTTGTCATCAAATTCACATAACTAATAATAGGAAATAAGGAGTGTGTAACAAAATTCTCAAATTTAGCATAGAAATATTATTATTCACGTGTGAAACAAAATTCTCAAATCGTTAGTTGGTTTCATTAAAATAAATATCAAAAAGAATAAAAGAATATTAAACCTTTTTGAAAAATTCTTTGAAGTTTTTATAGATGGAGATGCAACTAAGACATTTCTTCCCACGTGGAAATTTTAAGACAATTTTTGCTTTTCTTTTTTTCCGTTACAGACTTTTTTGAACTCTCGTAAAGACAAGGAAATTGTATTAACTTATGTATATAAGCTTCTCTGAAGTGATTTCTTTTTCCACAAGTTTTAGTCATTTTGGATCATTTATGAAAGTCACCATTAAAAAAGATGGAATATGCAAATGTCGACAACTTGAGTATACAATCAGATCTTGCTGTAATATCGTTTGCTTTCTACTGTAAGAGCATTTCTAATCCTATTATATTATTTTCCACTCAATTTTACAATAAATTATGGAATAGAGTTAAAAATGCTCTAATTAAATTGTTATAGGATAATGTATA